ATCAGATGGTATATTCATGCCTAGCCGTCTGATTTCTGTTTACAGGGAAATGTATATGAAACGTTCTTTGATGCCAATTCGACATATTTGTACACAATGTTCAATTGGGACCTGTTTTGTCCTTCAAATATATCTTTCTCCAGCTAATTCAGACCGGATTCTTGAGAATCCTTGCATAATTTTACTCTTCAAGGGTTGTTATAGCTGATCTCTTTCTATCACCGGCTTTCCCGTCTCTCTTCTCAAGGCTTGCGCCGTCTGCTTTGGCCTGGCGGGGCAGTCCTTCAAATGGATACATCAGGTGATCGGTCGTCTCGGCCAGCTACAAGCCGCCATCTCTGCCGGCCTCTGTCTAGCCGCCATGGTGTCGAGCATGGCAGTGTCTATCGGAGGCGGAGGCCAAGAGGTGGCCGGTCATTCTGGCGCCCCAGTGGCCCTGTCCGCCTCTTCTCTCCTTTTAACGCGATCCGGCACTCCAATCACCGACACGTCGTATGGCGCCTCTTCAGCGTCAACTTTGTCACTAGACTCAACCGCCTCCATCACCTCTCACTCTACACTCCTCGCATCTGGGCCGAGTCAACCGTTCGCCGAGCCACTCGTCGCTGTGACAACACCTTCAACATCTCGTCGTCTCTTTGCATTCTTTCGTTCTGGCTCATCAACTGTCACCACTTCTTCCATACCTTCCACAGCCTCTAGTCCGCCAGATTCCGGCTTCCAGCTTGAGTCGTTGACTCCTTCTCTTCCGATGACTGCCCTGCCGCTCGGCGACGGTACCAACGACCAGATAAGGGCCAGTCTATTACTATCCTATGGTTGCACTGCATTGATGGCAGCGGTCACTATAGTTACAACCACTGCTGGCCTCTCTGGGCTTGGTCTGTCGTTGGGACAAGCGAGAGAACCAGCCACTGGCGAGCCGTTCACTGGGAGGGGCAAAGACGGTAGGGTGATACAGCAGTTGGCCGCCATCATTAGTCATCTTCTAAGACAAAGCTTACAGAATCCCTCGAAGGTCAGTGACAAGGCAGTCTCATTTGTAAATAGGGTTTTCAGATGATGAGATGTGTTCCTCCTATTTCGCTTTACACTTTGTTGATTTTTCCCACGATGATATGCGTGGTCCCAATGTTTCCACATTCTGTGGTGGGATTGTATATGATGCAAAGTTCTATTTACTGTATCCATGGGCAACATTGCCAATTTGTCGTTTATAAGTAGGGCTTAGAGACTACCGGAAAATCAGATACATTAGATCTGTAAACCCTATTTCGTTTGAAGTGACGAATGATTTATGACTGAATTTTCACCCACTGCCTGGCCTTCCTTTAAACTCACATCTGCCCTGTGATCCAAGGGCATTCGTGTTAATGTGACACAATACTGTCATAGTCAGAGTCCCAATGGGAGTGCTGATGAAACAGGTTCAGACGAGGTCGAAAATGCAGTCCACTTCAACATAAATGAGAAAACCTTTTGGGAAGCAAGGCTATGTGAAAGTGAATAGAAGTGTAAAGTCTATTGATATGATTGTGGAAAAATTTAACCAACAGTCCTTCATCATCTTAAACGAGACAGAATAAACACATCTCAGTCTCATTCCATACTCCAACATCCTGACTAGTCTTGTATATTGTCAATACTGACTCGGCATCAGGTTTGTTGGCAAGCCTGAATTCGTGCCTCGATATAAAAAGTCTCCAGGAAAGATGTCAAACTAGCCCTGAATGTCATGCTGGGGTCTTGTGCCCCCTGGACCAGCAAATTCACGTTTTGGATCCGGCTGGGAGTGATGGTGAGTTCGAGACTGTAGTCCAGTATGTATAAGATCTGTCATTTTAGTTTGCATTAAGCCGAGAATTTTGATGAAAAAGGGGTATTATGATCGTTGCATCTTGTTCTACATGCCGAGTTTGTGCTTCCTCGATAATTCATTAATTTTTCATTGACGAAAATATAGTTAAATGCTATTGATGCGACATCAATTTATTATTTACTGTTAGAAAAACATGACATAAATACATATGAGATATACTGGTAGTCTCACACATCTACTTTTAAACAAAAAATGGCGTGTCACAATGGATGTGTTTGTTTTTTGTTCGATTAGTCTGCAATTTATTTTTCACAGCTTCTCATCAACATTAATCTAAATCTAGTGACCGTTCTGACAACTATGCTTAAGTTTTCATGCAAAACGATATGGGATTTTTCTATGTTGTTTAGACTGATAATGCCTCATGCCCTATTCTTTCCTTTTAGTTGGCCGAACATGTTAAATTCTGTATGAATCTGATTTCATATATAGGTCATACAGGATTGTTTCACTTTCGCCTCACCTGAGTATCCTCCCAAACTACGTGCGAATGGCAGTTTGCTTCGCAGCTATTGGTAGTTTGATTTTAATGGTTTTACCAAATTTAACTGCAACATGAATTAAGAATAAAACCCGAAACGCTATTTTTATTCACGATATACTGCAATTTCGACCTTTCCTCGCAGCAGCTCAAGTCTTATTTGGACTATAGATGTTTGTTTCATAACGATCATAGCTTTTATTGCAATGCATGCCTTCTTTAGCTCACATCTTTGGCAGGTGATTGTGTTTTGATGCTTCTCTGTGTGTTTTATACCAGATTCGATACACTAACTTTTTCGGTTAGTAATATGTTGTGAGACTCCGACGAATAACCTTATTAATGTCTTAAGTTTCGAATAGAAATTTCGTATCTGAACATTACTTCTTGCTTGAGACATTTTTTGATTGATTGGTTGATTGACTGTGTGTATGACAAATGGGCTAACACAATCCAAATGAGTAGAGGGATTAGATTTGATTTGGATACCATTTGCATCACTTACGGTCGCTCAGATATTTCTCTTGAAATTTGCAAATTATTCTCTCAATCATAGAGTCAATTCAACTATGATGTTTATCATAATGATTAAGCTTTTATATTATCAACTGTAATCGTCTAAGTCAATTAAGAGTGGATATTTGAATTTTCTTTACATGATATAACGCCTACTTGTATCATTGCAATAAAATTCAAATATCATCTCATTATCACCTTGTGATACTTAGGGTAACTACAGCTATTATTCGACTGCATGGACTTAAGCCATTTTGGACAATCTTTAATCAGCGCCTGGTGGCTAAACTTTTCCGTTTGCTTCAATTGACTACACTACTTATTGCCATTTTAAGTGGGTTTTTGAGACTGTTGTATTCACACAATTTCGTTAACGTAATGAAGGACTGGTAGTTTAATTCTCCCACAATCATATACATACGCCTCGCATTTCAATTGAATTTCACAATTAAAACAGAACGATTATAGTTCTAAATTAAAATCTAATGATAACCTCTAAATACTACTTAAAAACTAAAATTCCTAAGCTTTATTTGGCTATACCCACCATTTTGTCCCTCACCTTCCAGGACCCAGCTTTTCGACTGGCTTTTATCGCTTGCATCGACCTACTAAATCGGTCTGCTCTCGATATAGCCCTCTTCGAGGCATTTCACGAACCCCTTCCTGAAGCCAGTCGGCGCCCTCCGAGTGAGGCAACTGGGACAGGTCGTCCATTCAGTGGGTCTGAAGAGTCGAGAATACTTCCTTCTGGTTCAGTGTCCACCGCTGCCTGCGTACCCTCCGTCCCTCCGGAAGACTCCATCTCTACGGGCCTGCCCTGCTGGTCAAACTCTCCTCAACACATCCAGGAACAGTTGTTACAGCTTCTGATCCAGATCATCCAATTGGAATGCAGCAGCAAAGACGCCATGGCAGCGCCTACAACTGACGGTCGTCTTAGTCTTCCGGAGAAGCTGAAAAGTGTCTCAGAGTCTAGCCTATCAATTCGGTTATCAGCCATTATGACCGCTATTGAACTAGTGTAAAGATAAATTAAATTTTAATATCAAAATTTAAGAATTTATTAACAAGAGGATTAATGTTTTAGAATAATTGTATTGGCAGTATTAATTGTAAATTCTTGAAGGATTAGATATTGAGTTTCATCACAATCATGTGAGCAATCCTCGCATAAGTCTTCTCAGCTCCTCCAGCAGAAGTCAGTCCTGGGTTGTGGTAGTACAGTAGAAGAATAAATAAACAATAAAAATATTCATGCTCAAGGTGGCGAAGGTGATTTCGTTAAAAATAAGAATATAAAAGAAAAAGACAGTCTAGAAATAAACAAAGCACGCAGGGAAAAAGGTAAAAATGTAGAATAAGTGAAGCCTCGCAATGCAAAAATATCAAAATGGATCAAAAGCATACCAAGGACGTAAGGATCTTAGAGCTATACTAAAACATAGCAGTAAAATCTGCACAGGAGCCAAATGTAAAAACAAGAAAGAAAAAAATGAAACTAAA